ATTTCCTGAGTTGCCCTGGCCTGTGCAGGGGGAGGAGGTTTTTGTCAGCGTCTCCTCGCTGTTCAATCGCTGCACACCCAGAACGGAGCAGCATTCCTGGGCTCCCGGCCGGGTTTATCCCTGGGAAGGCGTTCAGGGCAGCCCCAGCCCCCTTCCCCTTCCCCTTCCCCCAGCCTGGCTGCAGAGATCCCATTATTTCTGATAATTGATGCTGAGGGCTGTGGCGTGCCTCATTTAATCAGCAGCGCTCGGTGCACTCCGGGGATGTAATTCATGCACGCCGCCACCTCCAACATGGCTGGGGAGCCTTGGCCATGCAGCCTTCCCTAATCAGCTGTCTGAGAACGATTTATCTCATCAGCAAAGAGCTCTGGCACAGCCACAGCACAGGTGACATCAGCACACCTGGAATCCGCCGCGCAGCACCGCCGGGAGGTTTTTAGGGTGAGACTGATGCCTTGGGATTTTTAGTTTGTATRTTTTCATGCGTCTGTATTCTTGTAGTTCTCTAGTACAACAGTAAAACTACCATTCTCCCATCTTTAGACAAAACAATTCCTCTCTGAGCCTTGATCCAAGGACACCTCACTGCCTCAGAGCCCCAAAATATGGAAACAACAGCGAGTTGGGGGGGAGCAAGTTTGGGGTGGGTGACATCATGACCTGAAGATCATTGGGGAATTAAGACCCAATATGTTAATAAGGCAGAACTTTATAAAAGGTGAATATCTCGTGACTCGGGGTCCATTTTAGGTGTAGCCACAGCAGAAGGCTTTTGTCTGCCCTAACATGCCAGTAGGCTTGTTAGGCCTGGATTAAAGTTGTCTATTCTCATTCTCTTAAATTTGTCTAGCCTCTATTTCAAATTAGCCTAATTGATAAGGCATCAAGGCAGTCCATGGGAACACTGTCCCGGGAGTAAAAGTGTATTTCTGGGATCAGAATATAAAAAGAACTGCATTGGAGTGGGGTGAAAAGGGTTAATGTGGTGTTTTGGTGAGTGTAATATCCTGAGCAKCCTTAGAGAACTTCCCAGGTAACAAACAGATGTGTCCTCAGATCACACCTGAATTTAAATCCTTCCCACAGACACCTCCTGCTTTTAGAAATACTTTTAGAAATAACACCTCTTGCTTTTAGAAACACTTTTTAGAAATGCACCTCTTGCTTTTAGAAATATTTGTAGAAATACACCTCTTGCTTTTAGGAATAAACCTCTTGCTTTTAGAAATACTTTTTAGAAGTACACTTCTTGCTTTTAGAAATACTTTGTAGAAATACACCTCTTGCTTTTAGAAATACACCTCTTGCTTTTAGGAATATTTGTAGAAATCAATACGCTTTTAGAAGTACGTGATCACAGTGGCAGTAAACGTATTTACTGCAGAGCCTGACTGATCCAAACTGCGCAGATTCATTAACAGAGGATAAATAGCAGCCCTGTTAAAGCAGGCAAACACAGAAATTCTGTCTGCGAGGGGCTGGCCACAGCTGTAAAGTTATTGCCTGAGCAAATACAAAGAGAGGTGGTAATTGGGAGTGATTAAGTTTAATTGATTCCCAGTTCCTTCATACCTTAACAAAAAGCTGTCCTGAAGCCTTGTTTCCTCCTTCCYACACCGACATCCCTCTTGTCACTGGGATGTGCAGGTGTAAAGGGTTATTTTATAGATGGGGACAGTTCAGCTCGCAGGGAGCACCCAAAAGCACCAGCACTGGGATAATTTCTGTCTCCACATCCAGCTGCGTGTCCTGCCCGAGCTGCAGCTKCTGCCACTGCTGCCTTGTCAGGGACACAGAAAATTTCTGAACTGAAAGAGCAGTCAGGCATCAGAACAGGCTGCCCAGGGCAGGGGTGGAGTCACCATCCCTGGAAGTGTTCAAAATCCAGTAAGTGTGGCATTTTGTGGTGTGCTTTAGTGGCCATGGTGAGGTTTTTTCAGATGCTGGGGCAGCCACAGCTTCCCTGGATCCTCAGTATTCCAGGACCAATACCATTCGCCACTTCAGTAAAAGTTAAATTAACCACTGGGAAATAATTTATTAAATTCCAGATGTTTGAGCTTTGAGAAGGTTTGTCTGGGGTTTTTTTTGTTTTTGGGTTTTTGTTTTTTTTTTTGTATTTCCAGCTAGAGACACTTCTTGGTGGCTTCTTTAGAAGAAAACACACTTCCAGGAATTACTTCAAAATCRATCTGTCTGCAAGTTCTTTGTTCTTGGGGAGTTTTGCTGTTAGAGAAGGAAGTATTTCTCACAGCATTTTGTTGTGAACCAGTTGTGGTTTCTTTGATTAGGTGTATGTGTGATGAAGATAATAGATGGGGAAAATAGATGTAGGTAAGATGTGTAGGTTATAGATAGGGATATAGATATGGGTATGGGTGTGGATATGGATGTGGATATTGATATAGATATGGATAAAATATGGGTATGGATATGGTTTATAGATAGGGATATGGATATAGATATGGGTATAGATATGTATATTGATATAGATATGGATATCGATATTGATGTAGATACATAATATAKAGAKATGGATAWAGATGTGGATATAGATATAGATATGTATWTWGATATAKATRKRTATRWRTATWKATATRGATMTGRATATWGCTATARATMTRGATATAGCTATARATATRGATATAGMTATRRATATKWATATWTRTATATRWATATRWATATRTATRKATRTRGATRYAGRTAYRGRTATRGRTATAGRTATRGATATKGATRTWGAKATRGAKATKGATATWWATATRAATATRMATATAMATATARATRTAGATRTAGATATAGATRGATATGGATCTCTCTGAGCTGGCAACAAGAGCTTTTGTTGAATTAACTTTAGGAACCAGCACGCGATCCCAGACCAGACAAACTGAACATTCTGGGGAATAATTAAAAGGCAAAACATGAGCTGCAGTGCCTGTTCCAGCCTGTCTGTAGGCAGTGGGCAGTTGCAGAGGCAGGCAGGGTGGGATGGCTCTGCTGGGCCCTGGCACATCAATCATCCWGCAGAGGCTGTGCTTGGCAGTGTCCAAACCCTTATTGAATCCTCAAAGGCWGGAGAGCACCTGGAGAAAGCGGGCRGGGGCCTAATCGATGCCAAAGGATGTACTTGGATGTATCAGCACCTCGGCATCACCGTGGAGAAAGCCCATTTGTTTGGAGAGAAGGGAAAGGCTGMCACTGAACACATTAAAATGGATTATTTCATCAATAGGTTAATAGAAAAGCAGGCTGCGGGTTCACTCCTGCTCGCACAAACGTGTGAAAWATGGGAAAGGCACTGGGAAAGGGGCTCTGTGCACTGGAGACCATCTTCCCTTCCAGAGGGGTGCCAWACCTCGTTTTTGCCTATTTATATGTAAATGTTCCAGAGGAAAAACAAGTTTTCTGCTGGGCAATTGTGCCTCTCTAGGCGCGGAGACTTCTTAAATAGGTCTAGAAATGAAAGGGYTTTTTCAGCTTGAAGGATGCACCCACTGAAAATACTTTTAGATTTGATGATGTCACTCAGAATCCAGTCCTCCTTTTCAGTGTGGAGCATTAAAGCCTGCAGATGGCTTTATTAAAATCATATTTAGCTGAGCAGTACAGGGGCTTCAGGCAGTGCTCTTCCAGCTTTAATTCTTCAGCTGAAAACTGAGCTTTTTGTTGAAGGCTGGAATGRCTTCAGGTCACTGTTCCTTTTCCCTGGAAGCAGCTGTTTGGGCTGAGTTTTGCGAGGCATTTCAGAAATTCCCTCATAAATTCTGAAAGAAATGTTTGAAATTATTGTCTCCTGGTTCTGGCTGTGTCGTGGTGTGTTGATGTCGTCCTGAGGAGTGAGGGAGAAGGGTCTGAGATTCCTTYGGAGACTTCTAAAATTGACTCCAACCATCAGCRCAGCACCAYCATGAACCCTGTCCCCMAGTGTCACATCCACRTGCCATTTAYRCCTTCCAGAGATGYTAATTCCACCCCTTCCCTGTTACTCCAGTCGCTTTCGGGTGTCCTGGTGTGCTCAGATGTTTCATCCCATTCCTGTCTGATCAAACCCAGCCCAAACATTGTGTTTTAAAGGTTCTAAAGAAGGTGAAAACGTGCTCTCCCCTAATGAGCCCGGAAGCAGAGTGCTTTTGAGCAATATTTTGTGCTAATTGTGAAGCAGCAGCACAGAGGATCTCAAAGTTTGGGTCAATTCTATTTGCTGTTCTCTGTAAAGAACAAACTTTTTGCTTTTTTACCCCTTTCCAAACAAACACTTTGATTTTCCAGTGGGGAAGGAATTTTGGAGCAGCCTGGGAGGGTGGAAGGTGTCCCTGCCATGGCAGGGKGTGGGATGAGATGAGTTTTAAGGTCCCTTCCAACCCAAACCACTCCAGGATTTTATGATCCTTCTTCCTCTGAGCTCAGCACTACAAATAACATTTGTCATTATGAGGATTTGAGGTCATTGCATCATCACCTCAATTTTTAAAGGTGATGCTGTAAAAAGGAGGTTTGAGGGTGAATTCCAGGCCTCAAGTGATCCCCACAGGCTTTTGGAGGAAGAGGAGCTCTTGTCTGGCTGTTTTGTCATGAATTAAATCACATTTTACAGTAGCTGTTTTGTCCAGTCCTGTATCTTCTGTACAAATACTTCCTGCCTCTTTTTTTTTCTTTTTTTTTTGACTTCTACTGGTCTGTTTTTGTCTCTTCCAATAGCAGATCCATTTAATCTTGTCAAATCGTGTCTTGTTGTGGTGACTGAAAGAAAAATCACTCTYGATGCGAGGTTTTCCACATGGGCCGTGGATTGCAGAGGCTGAGTGGTCCCGTGTGCATTTTCTGTGTGTGAACAGGCTCGTGCTTGTATTTTACTTCACATGCTTTTTGATGTTTCTTTTCTCCCCTTTTTCATTGAAAAAAAAACCAATTTTTTTTTTTTCTTCTCCCCCTTTCTTTTTTCTTTATTTTTATTCTCTTTTTTTTTTTTTTTCTCTTCCCCTCCTGCTCTCTGGACGCAGCCAAACGCAAAGCTTGGAAACTAAACCGTGTTGGTAGCCTGCGAAATATTTACAGCAGCAGCAGCACCAACACCGAAGGTAACAAACCCACCCGTCCCAGACAAACACCTCCTCTCTCTTCCCCCCTTTTTTTAACCCACTTCTCCAAAATTTCGCCTTCCTCGCCTCTCTCTCTCCCTTTCCCCCCTGGAAATGAGATTTGCCCCAAGCATGCGTGTTCGTTTCCACCCCGTGTTTGCAGAGTCATTCCACTTGGTCTTTTCATCTTTCCGTTTGCGCCTTTTATTTTGCCATTCATGTTCCTTTCAGCTTACTTAAATTTTGACCTTTCCCTSTAGTCGTGGAGTGGTGATGTTTAAATTACTTCAGGAACCCATTTGCTCCTTTTATTTATTTTTTTTTAAGAGATACATATATATATATATTTTCCCTTTCTCCATGTGGGCACTCAATGTAATATTTCCCAAGTTATTACGCTTTTTAAAAGTGTTAGTATCAGGTGTAATGATCTGTAGCCAAACACAATAGTGTGCCGTGACATTTAAGTAACAATCTTAATTTGTTTTGTGCAAGCCTTCTCCATAATGCTCTTTGCAGCTCTAATCCAGAGGCGAGACAGTGCCGGGTCATTTGCATGTGCTACTCTTGCTTGTAAATTCTGGATATTGTTGTATTTCTAAAGGTCACCCCGTGCCAAAGTTCACAAATTGACTTACATTGCTTTTTTTTTTTTTTTTTTTTTTTCCCCCACCCAAGACAGCCGTCATGCCTTTTGTATAATAGCACATGGAATTTTATGTATTTATTTCCTCCCCCTCTCCACCTTCATTTGAACAACACAATTATAAACTTTTCCTTCTTTCTTCTTTTAATATATATATATTTTTATTATTACAAATGTCAAAGGTCAGAATTACTCGGAAACCAAGCAAGAAGGAGACAGGGGGAAAAAACCTTTCACCACCACCTCCAGCAGCATGGAAGAGGGATGGTGTAAGGAATAGGGAATGCAAAATAGGTCACAACTCAGTAATCTCGCTATGAGGGAGGGGGATTTTTTTTTTCTCTTCACTTAAGTGCGAACCAAATGGGTCAAGTAATCGCAAGCGCATGCCCTAACACTAATTGACTTATTTTGGAATGATTATAACTGTAATATTTTTCTTAATGTCACTGTTTTCTGGGCTGTTGATTTTAGTGATTGCCAAGCGGTGGCATTAAATCTCTTGTAAATTTTAAATTGCATGCTATTTCTGTAAACAAGTCCCTGTGTTCACATCCTGATCATTAACCTTTGGTGATTTATATCACCGTCCTTTTTTTGCACAATTACAGCCCAAGCTGCTGGCGGGGGCCTGCCTCTCCCTGCCAAACAAAGTGTGCACAGGAAACAAAAGTGGGGTTTTATTCCAGCTTGTTAAGGCAGCTTTTTTTGTTGTTGTTTTTAATATAATTTTATTTTGTTTCTCAGCATAAGTGTAAAATTATTACCTTTCAGAGCTTCTAAGCTGGCTGGTTTGATCCTTTTGTTGTCTTTTCAAATAGGAAGTGCAAAATATGAAAGGGCAGAAAGTGACTGTTGGATATTCATAAGTTTTGGGATTGTCGTTTTTCAACAAACATACTTCAATAATTTTTAATTTTCTGTTTGCTGTTTTTATCTCCCAGGCCATACCTGGCCAGGTATATTTGTTGTTATTACAGGTTTAGTGCTTGAGAAACTTGTGATTTTATAGCCACCTGTTAATAAACTGCAGTAGGGGAACAAATATATGGGATTCCCTTGTGGTTTACAGATAAAGCGTTTTTAGGGTCTAATCTTTGATCTTACTCATCAAACTGAAGGCATCTTGGTTTGGGAATGGGGTCCTGCTGGCCATGGCCCAAAGAGTTTTGAGACACAGCAACAAAATGAAATTCTAAAATTGGGAAAATATGTAATTTTTGGGATGTTTTATCCCCCCTGAAAGCTGGAGGCTCAGTGCTCTCCGTAGCTTGGAGCTGGTACCGTGAGCCTTTGTGTGAGAGCTGGAATGGTGAGACATGCAAATGTGGAGTTAATGAGCATTGWAAGTATTAAAAACCACATGTTTGGATAATTATGCCTTCAAAAAAGGGAGCGGTGATGGGAAATGACAGTCCAGAATAACAAATCTGCTTTGGTCCTYAGCACAAACGCTTGCTCAGTTGCACTTACACCTATTTACGCACCAAAAACGTTACCCTCAAGTTCAGTCCCGGTTTGAAAAGCTCTCCAATCATTTTATTTGTTTATTAATGATCACCTTCTGTTATTTTGAGGTGTTCTGGCTGCTTCCAGGAGTGCAGATCTCAGGTGGAGATGGAAGAAGGTGTGTGATGGTCCCCAGCGTGGGGGGACCCTGGGTTTGAGCATCCTCCTCGGTGGGGCTGCTCTCTCCTGGCAAAAATAACACTGTGGGTGGGATTTTCACGARGTGTGAGATCCCAGCTGGAGGACTCAACCTTCTGAGGATTTTACAGAATCTCTGAGGCTGGAAAAGCCATCCAAGGCTAAGGTGGGACTGACCCCACCTTGTCACCAGCCCAGAGTGCCAYGTCCAGAAGTTCCTTGGACACCTCCAGGGGTGGGGACTCCACTYCAAGGCCTTTCCATGGAGAAATTCCTGCTGATGTCCACCCTGGCCCAGCCTGAGGCCATTCCCTCTCCTGTCCCTGTTCCCTGGGAGTGGATCCCAACCCTCACCTTGCCACAGAATTGCAGGGTTACCTCCTCCATCAGTTTTGGCTTATTAAAAGAAATCTGACTTTCATTGATTTCAGCATTGCCTGAACTCTTTGGTTTTTGGTTTTTTAGGGGTTTTCTTTAGGGACCCGTTGACAAATGACCAAGTCCCACAGGCTCCCTATTGCAGGCAGCCAGGTTTTAAGCAATCCTTTGGTTTTTTKGGGGTAAAAATGTGTAGTGTCAGTGAGTGTATGCTTGAAACAAACTCCTCTCTGGTTTTAAATCCCGCTGGGGTCACTTGTCCCTGCTATCACAGCAGATTTTTTTTAATATAGAATTACTTTTCCTGTATCAACAGATTTGACACYAGGCTGGACGGGGCTTGGAGCACCCTGGGATAGTGGAAGGTGTCCCATGGCAGAGGGTGGAACTGGATGGGCTTTAAGGTCCTTTCCAAYCCAAAATGTTTTGTGATTTTCTGATTTTGCAGCACAGCGGGAAGGATTATCTCTAAGGAATTAAACACATGTGCTCTGCTTGCATAAAGATACAAAATCCTGATTTTTTTCCCTCCTCATGGTTACATGTGTGATTTTCAACAGTGCTGGGCTGGATTTGCTGGGCACTGAGGGAWAACTTTTTGGTGTGGATATTCCTGAAGTCCCCAGCTTTGGTTTCAGAGTGATGCTGTTGCTGCCCTGGTGCCGTGCYTGTCTGAACTGAATTTTTTACCTTTTTCACTCTGTGCAGTCTTGGCACCCATGAAAAACGTCAAATTCATGTAGCAGAGGGGTTCAGTGCCTTCAGCCTTCCATCCCCAGTCTGTGCCTCCTAAATATGGGATGTAAAACATCGTAAACCTCTTCCATTGGAACACAACCTTTACCAAGAGCTGTGGGCAAGCACTAGCAGAGCTCTGTTGTCCTGATAGGGTTGATTTTCAGAACTAATTAGATTTAGACACTGGGTTTGGAAAGGGGAGAGAAGTATTAGCATAGCCATGCCCAGTGGGACATGGCACAAATATTTCCTTAATTGAGGCTGCTAATAAACATACTTATCTGGCGAGTGACGGGGGTAATTCACACCGAGCAGCAAAAGGTAACGAGACCTGACGTAAATAACACATTGTAAACAAATTGTGTGCTGTAAACATCTCCTGCCGCTTTTCAGAGCACCCCAGCAGCTCTTCCTCCTCCTCCTCCTGTGGGAAGGAGGAAGGGTTATGATGCTCAAGCAGGAGAGGGAGGAGGAGGCGAGGAAAAAGGAGTTTAAATAGGTCTCTGTGTTACTTGAGGCAGGGATTCAGCTGCACCCTCAGCKCTTGGAGGTGCTTCAGGGCCTTTGGAGGGTGTTTGGGTGCTGCCCTTGACTCCTTGTTCCGTGAAGGGTTTCCTGTGCCAGCAGCACCACCCTGCAGATGTGTGGGGTGAGTTACTGTTAGTTAGCACCAGCATCCTCTGATGGCAGCTCTGCTGGGCAGAGATAAAAATGCCTGCTCGGCTTGGAAACCACAAGATCCATTCTTGTTCCTGGTTCTGGCAAAATATTGATGAATGCGTTTGAGAAAGGCTGTAATATTGATTTAAAAGCCAGCTTTTGGGATGGGTGGGATTTCTGCATGGCAGGAAGGAGCCTTGGCCTCCTGCTGGCTTTCTGTGCTGAAGGGTTGGACCGGGTGATCCTTGAGGTCCCTTCCAGGCTGATCTTTAGTGATTTTGGGACTTGAATTGTGTTTGGGGCTGCCCATGCACTGGTGCAAGGTGTCCATGGTTATTCCTGCAGTCCTTAATATTGGGAGTAAAACAGGTGGGAGTGGAAATCGGGCTCAAACTGACTCCTGCACTTCATTTCAAACCACTCCTGAGGGGTACCAAGTGCTGTGGCTGCTTCTGGACATGTGTTTTCCCTACATTTAATGGATTTAATTGAGTTCTCTGGAACAAGTTATGGACTAATTGTATCCTGTAGTAATTTTCAGTGTCGTTTTCTAAACCTGCTCTCAGCCCCATGTCACAAACACTTCGGTGGGGGAAGGCAGTCAGGCCATGCCTGGATATTTGTTTTTCCTTCCACAATCCATTGCTCCTGAGATATTTTCTCTCAGTTTTGCAGAAATGGGTGGGCTGTGGCCATGCCTGGCTTTTGGCAGAGCGAAATCCATGTGAACTCAGGGTGAATGCAGTAACCTGACTCAGGAGGGTGATGGTGAAAGGAGTGTCCGTGGAATCCCAGAATCGTTTGGGGTGGCAGGGACCTTAAAACCCATCCCATTCATGGCAGGGACTCCTTCCACTTTCCCAGGTTGTTCCAAACCCAGTCCAACCCAGCCTGAAACAATTCCAGGGAAGGAGCAGCCACAGCTTCTCTGGGCACCCTAAAAATTCACTGATTACACGCCCGCTTCTACTAAAAGGAAAAAAATCTCTGGTGTTTTACCTTCCATATCATCACAGTCCCACAGTTTTGGCTCATTTCCCATCCCAGCCACCCCTTCCCTCTTCGAAAAAAAACAGCAAAACAAACAACAACAACATTTTAGACATCTCCTGTTGATAATAACTTCCAAATGGAAGTCGGTGGCAGCTGGTTCTTCACACTTTAACCCTTCCTCTGCTGCCCTTCCAGGAAATAATTGATGACTGATTGGCCCATTAACCTTTTTTTTTYCTAAAAAAAAAAAAGTTTGACAGCCTGGACTTGTGTAATGAGGAGGGATTCCTGGTGATATCAGGCTGATGGCTGAGTTGCTTGCCCCTGAGGATGCAAAATTAGCCCCGTGGGACCTCGTCTGCATAGAAACTGGACACAATTAGTGTAATATCCGGTGTTATTAATGTAGTTTGGAGTAATTGGGCAGGTTGATTTCGACAGGTTGATGGTGCTAAAATACTATTATGGTGGACCTTTCCATGAATAACTGTTAAACATGGAAAACTGTTTAATAAAATTTTGTGATTGGGCTCACAGGGATTTAAATAGCACAACCTATAATTTGACTGAAGAGTAAAAGTGAACAATTTTCATCCTCCCGCCTGGATTTTCCTGTTCCTGCATGCCAGGCTTAAGGACGTCCAGGTTTGTTCCTTGTCTTCTGAAGGAATTGCCCCGGGGGTGACGTGGAGCAGGCACTGCTGCTTTGTTTCACAGTTGAGCTTGGGGATTAAAAAAAATATTGTTGTGTTTAGGCAGAAAATACTAGGGGAGATGTGTTCAACTGGCACAACTTCTTGCGGAGTAAATTTGAACTTCGGTGGATGTGGAATCGTGGAATTATTGAGGTTGGGAAAGATCTCCAAGATCACTGAGTGCAGCTGTTAATGCAGCACTGCCATGTTCACCACTGAACCATGTCCCCAAGTGCCACTTTTACAAATTTTTTAAAGCCCCCCAGCAATAGGGACTCCAGGGATGGCAGCCCCTACAGAGTCAGGGCAAAAAGCTTTAGACCCCAAGCACCGTTAGACCCCAAGCACAGTTAGACCCCAAAAGCCTTGGGGATGCCAAGAGGTCACTGTTTCTTGAAAGGCAAATTGAGACTTGAGGTTGCTTGACTGTATTCATTCGACCTTGGTCTGGGCTTTGGGTTTTGGTGTTCATTCAGCAGACTGGAGACATTGCAGAGGGCTGAGTGTAACTTCATTTTTTGTGGAGTAGTTCCTCTCAGATCTCCCTCATCAAACCCTGAAAGCTCTGCTTGATAAACGAGGCTGCTGCCGTGATTTATTCCTGGCATTTTGGGTGATGTTTCTCCTTGTTTGGAACACAGTGTTGAAAGGGAGCAGTTGTAGCTGTGCAGTTGCATCATTCATTTTTGACTCCAGGGAATGGCTGGAGCTGTGCCAGGGCAGGTTTAGGGTGGATTTTGGGAAAGGTTCTTCTGTCCCCAGAGGGTGCTGGCACTGCCCAGGCTCCCCAGGGAATGGGCACACTCCAGAGCTCCAGGAGTGTTTGGACAGCGCTGCCAGGGATGCACAGGGTGGGTTTTTGGGTGTCTGTGCAGAATCCATGATCCCTGTGGGTCCCTTCCAGCTCAGGATATTCCATGATTCCTTTTCCCACTTACCCCATGCACTGTTTTCCAGTAAAACTGATGCTTCAGTGCTTCCCTGCACCTGAAAACAACCTTCAGCTCCATGTTTATTCCCACCTCAAGGTGCCAAGCCATCTTCYGCTATTTTTGAGGCCCTGGCCTTGCTGACATGGAGCTGATCCAAGCAAACCCCTCATCCCACAGCTTGGGAGCACAACTGCCAGTGGGCAGCAGTGCTGTCTGTAAATCTGCTGCTGGATTCGTCCCTGATCTGTGCATGTTTATGGATGATGAGGGAACACRGGAGTGTCATGGCTCTGAATATATAATAAGTCATTATGGGGCAAAATGCTCTTGCTGAAGCTCATTATGGCTGATGTTCACCAGGATTTTGTGTTCTATTATTCTTTTCCTTTCATGCTTCGTGCCAGCCCTTCCCAATTGCACTTTACTCTGTTTCAGCTTCTTGATTTTTTTAATTTGGCTCTGGTGTCCCATGTGGAGCTGGGGTGTGTGTCCATTTATTTCAGTTCTGCTGGTATTTCCATGTGCTGCTCCTCTGGCCTGAATTCTTGTCCTCATCCTCCAGCAGCCCTAAGGATATTTCACTGACCCTCTCTCCTGCCTTCTCAGATCATTTTCTCATCTCCCATGTCGGCCGTGAATGTTGAATAGGTTGAACTGATTTTAATCCTGTATTATAGCCCAGTAATTATTACTATTATCCCACTATTTATGCTGCAGAGGAGAAAATGTACACATCTGCTTTAATATATCTGTTCTTGTAAAAACTGCTTGAAAGGAGAGGGTRAATTGTTACATTTTCTGTACTGGCAGCTCTTTATGGTCCATTTATCTTTTATTTTGTGGCACCTTTTGATTTTTACATCGTGTAGCTTTTAGCACCTCAGGTTTAAATCTAAATGATGCTTTTTGGCCACTCTGTGTTTGAAAAAGGTACAGACTCAATTCCAAACCCACAAACACTGAGCTGAGTATTTCCCCAAACCAGTGCTTTATCTGCCAAACATCTGGAGGGGAAAAGCGGGGGATGCTGGTTGTTGCAGGGCACTGTCCAGCCTCAATCCTCGTGTCCAGATCTGCATTTGCAGGAGTTGCACAATCCAACAGTGGTTTGGGCTGGAAGGGACCTTAAAGCCCATCCAGTGCCACCCCTGCCATGCCAGGAACACCCCCCACTGTCCCAGGGTGCTCCAAACCTTGTCCATCCTGGCTTTGGACACTTCCAGGGCAGCCACAGCTTCTCTGCCAGGGCCTCCCCACCCTCCCAGGGCAGAAYTTCTCCCCAAWATCCCATSTAAATCTACCCTCCTTCAGCTTCAAGCCATTGTGTTGCAGAAGTTCTCATCAACCAAAATTGTCTCATCTACTTTCCAGCACCCTTAACTCAGTCATTTCTTCCTATTGCATTTTTTTTTTTTTTTTTTGCAGAACAAGAAGAAAACTTCGAGTTTATCATCGTCTCTCTCACGGGCCAGACCTGGCACTTCGAAGCGACCACCTACGAGGAGAGGGACGCGTGGGTCCAAGCCATAGAGAGCCAGATCCTGGCCAGTTTACAGTCCTGTGAGAGCAGCAAGAACAAGGTATGAGGCACAGAGCAAAGCTGCCAGTGAGCAGTGGGTGAGGGATCGCTGAGATCATACCAAACTCTGAATTTTCAGCTCTTGCTCCTTGAGGTGTGTGTGTGTTACCCAGCACCAGAGCTTTGTGAGGGAAGAACGTGGCCGAGGAGCAGCTTTCCCCTTGGAATGCTTTTTTTGTTTGCATTTCCTGTCCAAAGAAATGTTTAAAATCTGAGATGTCTTCAGCCAACGCTGATTTTTAGGAGGGCCGGAGAACTTCTGTGTCTTGAGTGAAATTTTCTGTAAACGCTGCACAGGAGAGAGCAAGGTGCTGAGTGCTGGTTGAGGGAGAGGAATGGCCMATAATTGTCCAGAACTGCAGATCCTTTAATATCACCCACCTAACAGTTGTCTTTCATGATTTTATATATTTGTATTTATATATTTATATTTTATATTTTATATTGTGGAAAAGACTCATATTTTTAATGATGTTCCAGGCTAGATCAAACACCAGGAATTGCCATCATTGCAGTATCATTTACTTCCCATTTTGTTTCAAAAATGGGGTTATTTCCAACATTTATTTCTGAGGTGGAGGAAAATCACGGCTTTTGTTGCTTCTCAACCATTCTGCTAGGTGTGTTAACAGAGCACCAAGGGGAAGTTTGGACATTACCAAACGTATAGACAAATGTATAAAATACATATACCAAACCAAATATACAAATATTAATACAAAAGGATAAAGGGTGGCTGGTTAATGGCTCAGAGAGGTTTTTCTCTTTGAGTTCTCAAAAGAGCTGAGTTCAGTCAGAAGTGGCTGGAACAGCAAAGTGCAGTTGGCTGGATGGGTTGAGCAGATCCATGGAGGTTGGATCTCCACATGGATACCCACAAATCCTGTTTAAATCATTCTGGAGTCCCTCCCTTGGTGCAGGGAGCAGTTTGCTCCTCGGGGTAGCTCTGCCCTGCTGCACATCAGGAGAGGTCACGGGCAGGTCACCACGGGGAGCATTCCAGCGGGTGAAATGTGACCTTTGGATGATGAAAAGGTTCCAGGCGCCTTGGCAAACCGTCCCTTAGTCTTCATTAGCACCTGCACGCGCATCAATAAAAGAAATCGATCTTATGAAATAATACTCTTATCTCATTTGTCTCAAGGAACTGAGCTGCAGTGTGGCTGCTGCTCTGGGGAGGAGCAGGGTTCATTCTCCAGCTYCATTTTGCTCTGTTGGGATCCAGGCTGGAGCCCCCAAAAGCCTTGGGGATGCCAAAAAGTCTCTGTTTCATGAGAGGCAAATCAAGATTTGAGGTTTGTTGGCCGTGTTGGTCTGACCTTGGTCTGAGCTCTGGGTTGTGCTGCTCATTCAGCTGACAGTTGTGTCATTGAAGGTTTTTGGGTTCTTCTTGCTGCTCATTCATTGCTTTCACTCCCTGCAGTCCCGCCTGACGAGTCAGAACGAGGCCATGGCCCTGCAGTCCATCAGGAACATCAGAGGCAATTCCCACTGCGTGGACTGCGAAGCACAGAGTGAGTACAGCACCTGACTGCAGCTCTGCCCTCTTCTCCTTGGCCAGGGCCTGGGGGAGCAGYCACCTTTGGCCTCCCCGGTGTCACATTCCCTCTGTTCATTAAGGGCTTTGCTTAACCAGATTTATTTGATCTTCATTTATCCTGCATATATCCCACACTAGGTGTATCCTAATTTTTTCCCCTTGTTGTTTCACGTTGAATGTCAGCATTCCTGTACAGTCCTTCAAAGAAAAGGAAAAGTTTGCTGTCTGACCTCAGTTCCTTCCATTTCCCTCCTGTTTGGCATGGCAAGGGCACACGTGCCGTGGCAATATTTTCAAAGAGGCAGAGCTTGATTGCTGCTTTTTTGGGYTGGTTTTTTAGGCTTGCTTGTCAGAAGAAACCAAAGTCATTGCTCATTATATCTGGATACTAGAAAACTGATTTTGGATTTTTTTTTTCTTCTCCTTTGTGTTTCTTTCTCTCTTTTTTTTTATATTTTTTAAAACATACACCTAGTGCTCAGAAGAGTGTTCTGGGGAATACTTTGAGCTGTGTTTCACCTCACTAACCCCGACTGAGGCCATTATTCTGGTGCTCTTTAGTTCCAGGGGTTTGCAACAAAGCCACAAAAAGGAAGTTCTCTTGCTCTAAAGCAATTAGTTGCAGGAGCTGAAGGACTGAGAACTTGTGCATTTTTATTTCTTTGATATTTGGAAGTCAGAACTTTCCTTGCAGCTTTTACACATGCTTAAAATGGAAATATATTCACTTATTTTTCTTCAGGTGCGATTTTTATTTTTTAAAGTTGGCTGCTGAGGAGCCAATTCTGGCATTCCAGAAAATGGAAAAAGAACGTATTGTACACAAGTGCGGCTGCTTTTGCACCAATAATTTGGTCCCTGATTCAACACATGCTAATCAAGGGGAAAGGTTTGTTTGAGTGGCATTTTAGACCCCAAAGTGAGTGTTATTTATTGGTGTGGATATTTTTTTTAATTTATGTATTTAGGGGGTTATATTATTTATTTATAAGGTGCAATCCCTTATAAGGTGCAGACAACTTCCCCAACATCCCTGTGATCCATCTCAGCTCTGCCCAGACTCCACAAAATCCCCCAGGCTCATGTTTCTCTCCCCAGCCATGCCCATAGCCCAGGATTTATGCTGGATGTTTAATCAGGAAAACGGTTGTGCAAGAAAGCAGTGCTTTTATTTTTGCTTTTTGGGTTTTTTTTTCCATCCCCCAACCAATCTGGTTTTCAGCCAGATTGTCCATGGGTCAAGCTGGCCCCCCGTGCACGGTGCCAGCAGCAGGGATGTGCCAGGAACATGTTGCTGGGAGAGGGCAGAGTGGGACAGCCCATTTTGGCAATGCTCYGTCATGAAGCTTTGGAGAGGGGATGATTTTGGAACCTCAGCTGGAATTGTTTGTGTTCTCACAGATGATTTATACCCTGTTTGACTCTTCTTGCCGTTCGACCTTCCTGATTTTAAGGCCACCATCGTTCCTTTGGAAAAACGTGAGATATTTCCAGAGGGATGTATCTTAAAAATGTAAACACAGAGAGAGAGAGAGAGGAACCTCAGGCTGCTGCTTTTCCTGCAGGGCTTTGCTGTATTTTTTTGTTTCCTTTCCTGCCTTGCCTGGGCAGCTCCTTACCCCCGGAGCACTTAACATGACAAACCCCAGCACTCCTGGAGCGTTTGCATCTCCACAGAGCCAGATGTTTGCTGGAGCAGGAGATGCTGCCATGCCTCTGCTCTGTTCAAGAGCCATCAATCTTCCACTTCAGAAGTCTCATTCTCCTCTTTCTGGAGCTTTTGGCTTTTGCAGCACTTGATGCAGTGCTTTGTTTCCCTGGGGAGTTGTGCCTTGTTGGATGTTAATGCAGCAGGTGTGTGCTGCCAGCATCCTTTTGGCAGCCTCCAACTGAAGTTATTCAAAGTTCTTTTTTTCCACTTCTCCATCCCAGAGCAGATGAGGCAAAGGCTCTTCATGTGCTGGCGTTTGTGCCCAAGATCTGATTTCACATTTCAGAAGGAAACCGGGTGTGTTTTCCCAAAGCAGCAGAGTCCTGCTGCTGACTTTGTCTGGAGAAGCCACTGAGAGTGATCCAATTGCTTAGGCAAACCCAGCCAAATTTCTGGATTTTGGCTTTCCMGCCTGATGAGAATCACATTGACAGAATTACAGAATGAACCAKGCTGGAAGAGACSTTCAAAATCATCAAATCCAGCCTATGACCCAAACCTCCTCACCAACCAAASCAYRGCACTGAGTGCCACGTCCAGTCTCAAAAAACACATCCCGGGACAGTGACTCCACCACCTCCCTGGSCAGACAATTCCAGTGTGTGATCACCCTTACAGTGAAGRTTTTTTTCTAATATCTAAGAGAGAGGRTAGATATGAGTCACTTTTTCAGGATTTGCAGAGAACATGAAACATCAGGTCTTTKCTGTCATAGAAGAAGATAAGGAAGTTTCAAAAAATCATGAATTTTCCAGTCCAGGAGAATGGTCACTTCCTGTGCTGTATTTTGTGTTTGAAAACTGAACACTGAGCTAATTTGGACAATCCTGTCCTACCAGTTACAAAATTCAATTTTTGTGTAGAATAGGAAAAAAAAAAACACCTCTCAAAGAATAGGCGAGTTGGAAATTTTTCTCTCTCTTCTGCTGCAACTCAAGATGCCTTCACCCCTGCTTCTTCTTTCCCTGTTCTCAGCCCAGGGATATCTCACACCWGCTGAGCTCAGGAAAGTTTAGCCTTTCATCAACCTCCAGGATGCACAGGGATGAAGGAGACAGTGGGAAAGGATTCTTTTCCCAAGAGAGTTTTCACCTCAAATGATGAATCTGACTGAGGTGCAAGTCAGAGTGGGGAAGAKGTTTTCAGGGAAGGAGTGAGCCAAGCATTTTGGAGAGTGTGGGCAGMTGAAAATTGCAGTCTGGTTATATTCAGTAGTGCTAAAAAGCTCAATCTTTTGTTTGACCAGTTTTAAGTAAAGTCCCTCTAGCTTTACTTCAGTGCTTAAAAGCACTGAAGGGGCTTTTTTTCCTTTTTCTATCAAACCTGGATGCCCACACCTGCCATTGCATCCTCCAATGCAGAATTACTATTACCATCACCAGGAAAAGGAAGTTGGGTTTRTATCATTATCTCAAAAGGAAAAAAAAACCCCAATCTTGAATAGTTACAGCTTTCTAACCAGGTGTGGTACAAATTGGTGATAACAATTTTCATCTCTGTGAGGAGGTCAGCCCTTCACTCTCAGYTCTGTGTTGTGAGGTTGTTGAAATTTAAAATAAAATTAYAAAATTTCRTGTAACTTCTTGGTTGCTGTTTTGGGGGGCTCCTTCAGTCACAGCAGCTTTGGCAGCTGGGAGAACCCTTCCAACCCAAACCATTCAGTGATTCAGATAAATATTCACCTGAAGCAGGTAAATATTTAAAGAATTTATTCARTACAAGATACACTACATGTGCTTCAAGCAGAGAGGTGTTTGGGAGGGAGGTCAGGTCCTTAACACCAGTTCTGTCAGAATAATTGGAATAATGTAAGCTGGTGTTTCATTCTCCTGCTTCATTCTGAGTTCATTGCACTTTGAATTTTTGTGAGGATAACCCTGGCCTTTGCAGGTCAGGGGTTTCATTCCGAGTCACAGTTTGCAAATTTCAAATTATTAGCTGCTGTGTTCGAGTTTATCCCAACAAATTGCTGTTTTGGGTTTTTTTATGTAAGTTTTATGTGAGTAGTATTTCAAATACACCACTGGTTCCCCCACTGGCAAAGCAACAGTCGAGATATCTGAACAATTGTGCAGAAAAGAAGATTCTTGTGCTTGGCATCCCAAAAGCTTGGACAGCATGGCAGGAGCTCTGTCTCTTATTTTTTGGAAGTCTGAAATGCTGTGCATATTTAATGTAGATATTAAATTGTGTTTCATGTAAGACCTGGTATGGACAGGAAATTTTAAACAGAAGATGTGTTTTTCTGCTGAAGTAGAATAAGATAGGGAATTTTTCTTCCTGGTGACATTTTAGATTTCTGTGAACTGACTGAAAAATGTCAGTCAATACCTTCAGTGGGATGTGGGACTCCACAATTAAAATCCTTTCCTTCCCTTCCCCTTCCCTTCCCCTTWCCCTCTCTATTTTTTTGTCCAAACATGATTAGGAAATTTTTGTTTTCACATATTTTGGTTGCCAAAAAGCACTTTTCAATTGTGGGTTATGCAAAATCAAAATGAGTCTTCAGATGAATTCTTGCAGGACMGAAGACAACAGTGGAAATTCACTTTCAACTCCAAACTTTGTTTASAATTGAGATAGGAATAAGAATTGCCTGCCCTCTTAATTGATCCCCACTTTCCTGCTTGGTATTAGGGGTGGTTCTTTGGTGCATCTTTGGGATGCACAGAGTAAGGCGTGAAGAAAAGATCTGATAGCGTGGGCTGGGGGGCGGAAATCCAACAAAAATTCCTCTCATGTGACTTCAGTTCCATTTGTTAAAGTGAATGTTTGTTGGAGAGAGGGCAATCCATACAAATCTAGATTTAAATTGCTCAGGACAGCATCTAAAGAGTTTGGAGCAACACTGGTAAATTGAATTTCCCCACTTTTGTCAGGTTTGCCACCGTTTTATCCTTCCTGGGGTTGTTCTGGGTGGGTGAAATCCTTCTGGCTCATGCCCTGGAACTGGGGCTGTTCAAAGGTCAGATTTTCATCGTGGTGCTCCTCTCCCTGATTTTGGAAATGGGAGAAGAGTCAGTTGTAGGAGTCACACATAGTTGATGGGGTAGATGGTTATTAAGGGGGCTGTAATTAGCCAGAGACATTGTTTCTAGGCCTGGGTTTTTTTCTGCTTTTCCCCTTTTAATTGACCATGAACAGCTCTRGATTCCCAWGGAGGGGTTTSCTCCACTGCTGCATCTTYTACCCATCACTRTGGYTGTACTTTGCTTYATGGGAAARTGTTGTAAGAARCACTCCATTGTGATCAGAATCTTCACAATCTGTAACTCTGCAACTATGTAAAGAAAGGCAAATTACCGACATGGTATAATRGGGGAATTCACCTTACCAACACCCACAAAATCACTTAAAACATTACAGTTTTTATATAAACAGTTTTCTTTGTTTCTCCCTCCGTTTCCAATTCATTTTCCCTTGTGGCTGGAGATGGGACACCCCATTTTATTTTTTTCCCCCTTGAGGGTTTCTCCACTGACCCTGGCAGCTCTCCCAGCTGCACTCTTGGCCAAGACACCCCCAGAACCAAAACCTCCWCACCCAAACAGCACCTGGAAAGTTCTGTTGGGTGTCCCCTTGTCCTCACTGCCATGTCCCTTGTCCTGCAGACCCCGACTGGGCCAGCCTGAACCTGGGAGCCCTCATCTGCATCGAATGCTCAGGGATCCACCGCAACCTCGGCACGCACCTGTCGCGGGTGCGCTCCCTCGACCTGGACGATTGGCCCATCGAGCTGATCAAGGTGATGTCAGCCATCGGCAACGAGCTGGCCAACAGCGTGTGGGAGGAGAACAGCCAAGGCCACATGAAGCCTTCCTCGGACTCCACAAGGTGGGTTTGTCCTCTGTGCCCTGGCGCACGTGTGGCGTCGCCACTTTTGAATCCTCCCTTGGTGAGAAAATCRCGGTTGATCTCCTCACTGTGTGCCCAGGAGGAAAATGTGTGCCAGGAAAAAGATGTGTGCCAGGAAAAAGGTGTGTCCCAGTGRGGGGTGGCAAAAGTGGGGTGGCCTCGATGCTTCCTGGATTTTGGGAGTGTTTCCTCAGCAGCTCTGTGTTGTTTCTGTTGGATGGGAGATGGAAACTCCCACCTGCTTCTTCTTCCATCCAGATTATCCTGTCCTGTGCTCCTTTGTCTTGGTTGCCCACAGAGTTTGCGCCTCTTGGGCTGTCAGTTTGGCATTGATAACCTGCCTTCAGGAGAATGTGTACCTGGCTGTCAGCCCCTTGGTTCTGCTCAGGGATGTTCAAAGTTCCGCTCACCGTGGATTTGATTGGTTTTTTGTGTGATTTATGTGAAACCATGAGTTGCTGGGAGGATGTTTCCTCTGAGAGTAGAATTTCACCTGCCCCTCAAAACTCCAAACAGAGAAAATGTTCCCGTGATGTGTTGTCCTACCTAAAAYGAGGGGGGTTTRTGCTTAATTTATYTGCTCAGGCTCAAAGTCAGGTGTTYTGAGAACACTTTTCCCAGTTTTGKATCAGGTGGAAAGRTCATTCTACCTGGGCCACCWCCTGCAGTGSAGGGGTGGGTTTGTGCTGTTGTGTGGAGTAAAGTCAACTGTTTCTTCTTGCATTATTTCGTTAGCCCTGAAAAATGAATTTGTGGTGCCACCTTTGGTTCATCTTCGAGAATGAAGGCACTGCATTAATCAGGCTACTCAGATGAATGGCTGTGCACAGAAAAGTGCTCAGGGAGACCTGAGGAAAGGTTTTGTTCAGGCAGAAATGGGATGCCTGTTCATATTGTTTGCATTATTAGACCGGTAATACAGGGATTTCATCMGGTAGGTTGAAATGAACTTTCAGTCATCAGGATCACTTTAATTCAAAGATTTTATATTCTTGCAGCTCACAAATGTGTGTTGCTGCTTACTGCTGAGGTGAGATGGAGCAATCCCTCAGTTCTGAGCACTCAAYTGGAATTCTGCTTTAAAAAAGAGAAATCACATTATTTTAGTAGTCACATAATAAACATCATGAAAAATCTAAAATCCATGTGAGTGTGATAAAAAGTGCACCATCCATTTCAATTAAATAATTCATTTGGGATCGGGTTTTACTTCCAGAAAATCAACTTTTTGTCTCTCAGTATTTCATGCCCAGGGCTTATTTTGATTCTCCCACTTTGTTTCTGTGCATCTTCATGGTTATATTCAGCTGATTCTGATTGTCACTGGCATTATTGCACTTTCTTTTCCTGCACTGCAACATTTTTGGACAAAAAGATTCATTTTATAAATAGGAATTTCTAGCTTTGTGTCCAGGTTCACGCTTATGTGATAGAAGAGACGTTAGAAAAAGTAGAATTAGGATGATGTGAAAATATTCCCACAAAGCAATTGCAATCTTGCTTTGCTGCTCCCATTCCTCTGCTGTTTGCAGCAGGGACTGAAATGCAATTTTTCATGTAAATACCAGAAAGTTCTGATTTTTCCAAGCCTCTGCCTCCTTTTGTGCTTCACTTTGGTCTGTGCCAACATCACAGTCCTGCATTTGGGAAAAAATAAGTTCAAGTTCTTCTTGGAGAAGCTGTGCATGCTGTGTTGTCCCTGCTGGTTGGGGTTTAGGAATGAGGAATGAAGAATTCTATTGGGAGCAGCAAAAATGGACCTKCAAAGAGGGTTAAACAAACTTCCCTTATGTTGTTGTTGCGGGAATGAAGGGGGAGAGGCAAATCCAAGAGAGCCTAAGAGGAACTTTGGACAAGGGWTGGAGGGACAGGACACAGGGAATGGCTTCCCACTGCCAGAGGGCAGGGATGGATGGGATATTGGGAAGGAAATGTTCCCTGGGAGGGTGGGGAGGCCCTGGCACAGGGTGCCCASAGAAGCTGTGGCTKCCCCTGGATCCCTGGAAGTGTTCAAGGCCAGGTTGGACAGTGGAAGGTGTCCCTGTCTATGGCAGGGGTGGAATGGGACCAACTTTAAGGCCCCTTCCAACCCAAACCATCCTGGGGTTCTTCAAACCAGTCTCCAGGTCGTTTAGTGCCCCTGTGGATCAGAACAGCGCCCAGGACAGCCTCTGGCACTGAACTGGAAGGGTTTGGGAGCACAGGGGTGGTGGCATCCTTGAGGAAGAGGCGCAGGGTAAAGCAGTTGAGTTCTGAGGGCGTTGCTGTGATTTCRGGGAGCAAGGAGGAATAAACACAAAAATTTGGGGAAGCCTCGGAAAACCCAAGCACGGGTAAACACTTGAGTGTGCAAGGGAACAGGGAGCAGCTGGCCCTGAGCAGTGGTGGCCGTGGGTCCCTGATGAGGTCAGCTCTGCAAAGCTGCTAATTGGTTCCAGCAATTACCAGCAGCCCCGAGAACRCCGCTCAAACTTCGGGAGGCCTGTGACAAATTGAAGCTGACTGCTGGTGAAGGAGTATCGACTTCCCATTCCTAAACAGGGGGATCATTAGTCAAGAAAAGCATCTTTTAATTACTCGCAGGAAGAAAAAAAAAGAGAAAGAGGGAGAAAAGGAAAAAGATCTTTCAGTATGGATCCTGCAACAACCGCCAGGTTTTTTTTCTCCCAGTGTATTCAATATTAAATTTATTGTCCTGGAGGGGAGGGGGCGATCGGGGGGAGCTCGCCTGCGGTCCCTCCTCGGGTAATGCGGGTTTAATTTGGAGTGAGAAGTCAAATTAGAGTAAATCAATGTTGCGACAATTAACTGGGGCTGGGGCTGAGATCAGGGTTTTCCCTCTAATTGCTATTGATACTGTTTGAGCACGCTCTCACAACGCTGYTGTGGAGTGGTGCAGTGCTGGAGGAGCCCTGTGGGACAGAGCTGCTCCGTGGAGGAATGCTGGAGACATGGGGGAGAATTCCGGCTTGGGAATTCTCAGCCTTTTGTGCTGCTATGTCTATCTCCTACAAGATATTGAGCTTTTTTTGGACACACCTCATGTTTTACTCTGCCCTCATGCCCACGTGGCTTCTGGTTGGTGGATTTGGTTGCCACCAACTTCCAGAGGTGACGTTGGCCTTTTCCAAAGGACACAGGCTGCCCTCATCCCTCTGCCTGCTYCAGATGGTTTTCTGCTCTGTCACCCTGCTGCTAAGGGCTCCATCTCTGTCTCCTGGGRGTGCTGGGATAMTGGGGCAYCTCCCCTGGCTGGAAGTTGCTGAAGGAAGGCACTGTCGTATCAAGACACCATCCCATCCATTCCAAATATCCATAGGGCTCCACCATTTCAGCATCTTCTTGAGAACATTCATGACCAGGTGACATGTCCAGCTCCATTAAAACTGGTTTGAAGTGAGGGCTGAGTGGCTCTCTGCTCCTCAACTGGGGCTGTTTGTGCTCAGGTCTGTTGGCACAGCAGCCTCTCTGTTTGTTCTGGCTCCCAAAGGTGGCAGGAAAATCCAACAGCYGGGAGCTGGGAGCCAGCAGTGTCAGGAATTGACTTCCACCTCAGGAGGAAAGATCCAGTTTGATCCTTGTCACTAGTGAACTGCATTTAATAGTGGCAGGGACAGCATTATGCAGCTCCACTGTGTTTAGCCGAGTTTTACAGTCCTGACCAAAGCCTGGCTTATGCTGCTCAGAGGAGCTGGGGAGTGACTCGGATGAAAAATATTAGACTGTGCCTCCCATGGAAAAATGAATCCATGCCTCCTTTTCTTTGTAAAAATAATTAATCCTTCATCACGGATAAAGGGCAAGCCCAGGGAAATGGAGTACTCCAGATCCCAGTATCGCATCCTAAATCTTGTAGGGCTTCTGTGTTCCGTGTCCCACTTATTCCTGGCTCCTTTTGGCCATAACTCTGCCACTGTGGTGCTGTTGGTCCCGGGTTCCTGTGATAAGGAGCAGCGTTGGAAATGGAGCCTGGGGGAGCACGGGTACCTCTCTATCCRTCCACGAGTGCCAGCTCCAGTTCCTTGGCGGATCTTGGCCTGATGAGGTCAGTGTTTTGTGCCTTTTCACTGCTCCTCCATGCCTAACACCTTTGCTGTTCCAGGGCTGGGGGAAGGGGGTTTTTAAAAATAAATTAAAAAAAAAAAGAAAGGGAAAAAAAAAAAAAGATTTTATTGTGAAGGGCTGACCAGAACCCATCTGCAGTTGGGTGGCATCTGCTCCCCACATGTCACTTCCCTCATTAACAAGCAATTGAATTAATTAAATGCTACTCAGAACACGCATAACAAGCTACCGGCAGTGTCCAAATTAGCACTGATAATCAAGGATGATTTCCTTTATTATCCTGCTAAGTGGTGTGCAGGCTCTGATCTCCCTGTCTGCCCTCATCTATTTACATACCCCCAGCTTCTGCCTTTAGAAGCTGAGGTTATCTTACCTAGTTAATTTGCCACGATCACCAAGCATGGCGGATTGATATTCCTGCCTCTGCTGAAGCAAACCCCCTCCTTTCTCCCCCTTTTCCTTCCTCCCCAAGCCTGGTCCTTTGTATCTCAAGCTCACTGATAAATTAAAAGCCACCCCTGTGGTCTCTCAAGTGAGTAATAGAGGCAGAAATTTCATTTTGCAACTGGCTGATTTAATGATCCAAAGGGTAATTAATGGCCTGATTATCTTAATGTTAAATATGTCCGGCAGCAATTACTGTGACCTCCCGCTTGTCAAGGTCCAGGCTATGCTCTTCTTTCAATTAAGTTCTCTGGGGCTTAATGGTATGAATAAACTCCTCTGATTCTATCATTCCGGACTCTGAGATTTAAGCGAGCTGGGGGCTCGTTTGGAGTTTTAATCAGCCCGTCTTCTACTTGAGCGATCAGAGTTAACAATTAGAACAAGGACAGTTTAACTTTCTTTCTTTCTTCCCCCCCCCCTCCCCTTTCCACTTCTTTTTAAATCAATTCTGACTAAAGAAGCACCAC